ATGATACGGTGCTGTGATGTATATCTCTGTCTATGTCTGATATGAGGATGAGGAATAAGATGGGGGCGAGTGCTGTGCCTTGTGGAACAGAGCTCTTCACTATGGCAGCCTCCGATTTAACTCTGTTGACTACTACTCTTTGTGTTCGATTTGTTAGGAAGTTGAAGATCCATCTCCCCACTTTCCCAGTTATTCCTTTAGCACGTATTTTATGGGCTATTACGCTATGATCGCATTTGTCAAATGCTTTTGCAAAGTCTGTGTATATTACATCTGCATTTTGATTTTCTTCCGCTGCATCCAAGGCCATATCATAGTGATCCAGTAGTTGTGAGAGGCAGGAGCGACCTGCCCTGAACCCATGTTGCCCTGGATTGTGCAGATTTTGGGAATCCAGGTGATTTGTAATCCTGCTTCTTAGCACTCTTTCAAAGATTTTTATGATGTGGGACGTCAGAGCTATTGGTCTATAGTTCTTAGCTAATGCTTTGCTGCCACCTTTATGGAGTGGGGCTATATCCGTTGTTTTAAGTGACTGTGGAATTTCACCCATGTCCAAGCTCCTCCTCCATAGTGTACTTAGGGCACCCAAGAGGGGTTTCTTGCAGTTCTTAATGAAAACAGAGTTCCACCAGTCTGGGCCCGGGGCTGAGTGCATGGGCATGTTGTCAATGGCTTTTTCGAAATCTATCGGAGTTAGGGTAATGTCGGAAATCAGGCATACATTTATGGAGTTTTGAGGCTCATTCATGAAGAAATCATTTGGGTCGTCGATCCTCAGACTGATTAGTGGTTCACTAAATACAGAGTCGTACTGGGATTTCAATATTTCACTCATTTCGTTGTTGTTATCTGTGTAAGTCCCATCCTGTCTGAGTAAGGGCCCGATACTAGATGTGGTATTTGCCTTGTTTTTGGTATATGAAAAGAAATATTTTGAATTTCTTTCAATTTCACTAATAGCTTTAAGCTCCTCCTGTCTCTCCTGGTTCCTGTAAGAGTCATTTAACTTAAGTTCGATAGTTTCCACTTCCCTTTGTAGCTTTGAGCTACTGGTTGAAGCTCTTTGAGCTCTTGTTGAAGTTCCTCACAATAGGGTCACGCTACTCAAATAACCCGCACACACTACAACTCTCTTTTTAGTACTGCTACTGTTATCAACGCTGCTGCCACCATTACTACTACTATCACCAACACTATTGCCACCCTTACAACTACTGTTATTAATTCAGCAACAACAACAACAATAACAACAACTACTATTACTGCCGCTGCCGCTGCCGCTGCTGCTGCTGCTGCTGCTGCTGCTGCTGCTGCTGCTGCCGCTGCTGCTGCTGCTGCTGCTGCTGCTGCCGCTGCTGCTGCTGCCGCTGCTGCCGCCGCTGCCGCCGCTGCCGCCACTACTACTACTACTATTGATACTGCTGCTGCTACTACTACACCCCTTCCCCCTTCCCTCCTTAATGCGGGTTGTTTACGAATTGTTCTATCCGCAGTGTTGTGATTTTTAATCTTTAGGGTTACGGGTAGCTCTTTCTCGAGACAGTCTTCTGTTTTTACCAAACCATACCCCCGGCCGGGATTGAACCCGCGGTCATAGAGTCTCAAAACTCCAGCCCGTCGCGTTAGCCACTAGACCAACTAGCCACAATAAGATTCATCCAACTAGGTATATTTCTACACCATAGGAAGGTTAGCACAGGCACCTCTGTGACCACAAATGCAAGTTTTTACAGACGAATCTCCAGCTAGCGTGGCCGTGACGAACTCTAGCTCAAGTCCCTTCACTGCCGTCAACATGACTCTATGACGGAAATATAAACACAAATGCAGTATAATGTGATCCTTTATTGACAACGTTTCACCCACACAGTGGGCTTTTTCAAGTCACACCTTCAAGTCTACCTTCCAACCCCAGGTAGATCAGTGTGTGACTTGAAAAAGCCCACTGTGTGGGTGAAACGTTGTCAATAAAGGATCACATTATACTGCATTTGTGTTTATATTTCCATTGTGTCGGTATTTTATACCATTTATTTCCATGACTCTATGACCACGGGTTCAATCCCGGCCGGGGGTATGGTTTGTTTGTAATCGTGTCATTACGATTTCTTGAGTTCTGTTTTTACCATTAGTGCCAAGAAACAAACGTTCAGAGCCGCAGTTCCTTTACTTTTATTTCTCACTCTAGTGTTGTGTGTGTGTTGTCTAGCCTCTGCTGGTCTGCCCTCCTTTTTTTTCTTGGTAGTACAGGGGAAGGGTGCGATGGTGATGGTGACAAGGGGTGGTAGTGGAAACACACACACACACAATCGAAGTGCATTGAGATCCTTTATTGGTCCTTTATAGTCAATAAAGGATCTCATTACCTTTCATTTGCGCCTTTGTTTCCATCGAGTCAGTATTTTACAGCATTTCTCTCCACGGAGTGATCATGATTGTAACATGGTGCTCATAGTGATGGTGACATCGATGGCGATGGTGACTGTGGGTGATGGTGGTATAGTATTTTTTTTTTATGGACGACACATGTCAGGGTGATGGACGGTGTGTGGTGGGTGATTGGCGACATACAGTGGGCAGTGTGCTATTTACGGTGACATGATGGACGGTTGGTGATGGAGGGTGGGTATCGGAGAATTGAAGGTGGGTTGTGAAGGATAGAAGATTTAGGGTCGAGAATGGGTGATGGAGAATGGGTAGTGGAAGATGGAGGGGCGGGTGCTTGAGGATGGAGGATGAATAGGGTCTGATGGTTCCAGGGATCATTCAATATCCTCCATTGCCCAGTTTCACACGAGACCTCTAGGCTGACGATCTGATAAGTCAAACTGTAAGTGCTTGCGGCATGCAGCACAACGCAGGCAGCACTGGCGACTGGTTCGGAATGGTTCTGACCTATTTAAGTTTCTTGAAGACAGTAATTTGTAATTCCTCTTATATTTCAGTGGAGCGTTTATTAAAAGATCTTTAACCCGTTATGTTTACAGAGTTATTTTTTTCTGCACTCATTTTTACTGGAGTGTTTTTTGTATCGTCAATCATCTGTGGATTATGGATGTCACTATGGTAGTTTGGTAAGATTCGTCAGGAAACAGGACAGATGCTTCTAGATGGCCTGCCATTGCATCTTTTGGTCATATGACAAAGGCCTTTACCTGGCTTACCGGTCTTCCCCTTTAAAAAATTAAAGTTAACATTTAATTAAAGTTAACATTGATTTAGTGTTGTAGTAGTGTTGTCATATATTGAGTGGCGTGTTTGAGGTATTGCTGTAGGGAATATGATAATGGTATACATACCGAAAAGTTGATAAGACACACGTACAACATTTAGGTATCTTTATTCTGAAACGTTTCGCTTATACAGTAGGCTTCTTCAGTCGAGTGCAGAGGAGGCAGCAGAGGCAGTAGAGATGTAAACAGTTGAATGTTGGTACCCGGAACAGGGAGAGCACAGACATTGCAGGTAAGACTGTGAAAGTGTTAATCATGGAGGAAGGTGTAGCAGTGGCGGCCGTGTTATAGAGTTCTCCTTTATGTTGGATATTGGCAAGTTGTGTTACAACTCTCACATTGCCTCTTATTGGGAGGGGGCCATCGTACATCCCCTCCCACTCCCAAAATCCCTAGTGGGGCTCACAAATGACAGTACCGTTCGTTGTGTTTTTATGAGGTTAAGTGCATCACTTTCTGAACGTTTTCTTCAGTTAGACTATTTTTATTTTATGTTACATAAATCTGTAAAGACATAATATCTATGAATACTTGCATCCCCAGGCGCTGTTTTACCCATACGGATTTCTCTCTCTCACCCTCCCCCGAAAATAATAATAAACCCTCCCCCGAAAACAATAATAACCATAAATAAGGAAATTAAAAATAACCGGCGGCGATGCGTGTGGCAACAAGTTCAGGCAGTGTACACATGTATACGCTTATCACCCGTGATGAAATGATGGAGAAGTTGAGTAACATGTGTACAAGTTTTCCACTACCAGAAAAGTGCTGCCACTGACCTAACACTGTAAAGTTCCAGAATATAACTGTACTTTTGTCCTTGCCCCGGGCTGATGTGTTAATGTGTTAAGTCAAGTTACTGTAGTAGCAGGTGTCGTCTACGTTGTAAAAACTGCACGTGTGTGTGTGTGTGTGTGTGTGTGTGTGTGTGTGTGTGTGTGTGTGTGTGTGTGTGTGTGTGTGTGTGTTTTGCGTACGTGTGTTTGTGTGTGTGTACGCGTGTACACACGTGTGTGCGTGTAGACGTGTTCGTTCTCGTAGGGTGCAGGATTCACCGCCAAACAATGAGCCTGAGTTTTGTTTTATGTTTGACCAAAACTAATTTACCAGCTTTCATGACGAGCCCTCGCCTTACTGATCTGTTTCTAATAATATCCGAGAAAGGAATTGATAAAACATTCATAATGATCTGGTTAAGACCTTTGTAAAAATGAGTGCTAGACGATATTCAATGCTTCACTAGACATTGACATTCTTGCTCTTCTTTGCATAATTTTATTCAGAAGGACTCTAGATTTCTCCTTTACCCACCCCCTCCCTCCCTTACGCTCTTTCTCAAACCATTTGTGAAAATGATCCCTCTGGTGCATATCAAGAGGACCTCATTACCTGATTATTTTCTTGATCTCTCCCTCTCCTGTATCTTTATCTTTCTATTCTTCCTTCACCTTTCTTCCTTTCGTACCATTTCTCCTCACACTGACCAGATTTAGTTTAGCAGTTCATTTCAGCTTTTTTTTTTTTTGTGGTTACACGTGAGATTTCTTATTTGTGTCTAGTTTTTGTTGTTGCTATTGCTGTTCTGACTGTTGTTGTTGTCAGGATTTTTCTTTGTGCACTCGTGAATTATTTACTATGCATGTAAACATCTTTGAGATTTACACGTAGAAATGTAACAATATTTTCTTCTCGTCTCCCAGGTGAGTGTGTTGCTCCCAGGTGAGTGTGTAAGGTGGGGTCAGCGGCAGCTGTGTGTGTTGCTCGCGAGTGCAGGTCATGTCTACTCACCTCACTCAGCTGGGGTGTGTTGGTGTGCTGAAGGCAACAGCAGCTTGATTACTCGTGTGGTCACCATGGAAGCCTGTCAGAGTAGAACTCACGAAACAGGTCACAGGTATGTTACCCATGCACACGTCCGTGCAGATATTTGTTGTATGACAACTTCCAGTAGGTCTTGTGTGTAAATATGGTAGAACTACAGGATTGCGAATCAAAGTTAAGTAAAATCCACGTCGTATCCTCATATACAAACTAACGTCAACAACGGGCGAGGAATTCACTATGCAGCTGGGGAATATCATTTATCGAAGAATTAAAAATCTGTTACAGAATGTTATCTTTTAGGAGAGTTCACCCTTCCAAAGATTATAGACAGCAGCATTATTCTTGAAAAATTACCTAGAAATTCCCGAGAGAAACACATTCTAGAGAACTCTGAAGACTGTGCCAAGTTCGCATTGAGACGACACACAACGGAGCAGATAGAAAGTAAAGCCTTTATTATAACTATATTTCGTTCAAGGAGAGCTTCATCAGGTTATCGGATGGGAAAATGTCCTGGAACAACATAAACAAGGTATAAACCTTGGATCAGCCGGGTTGTGATGGATATGTGGAACAGATGGTCGCCAGCAGTGACCAGGCAAGTCTGGTCCGGGGCCGGGCTGCGGGAATAGGAAAACTCTCGAAACCCATTAAAGTTATATAAAAGGTATTTGTACCATAAACTTGTGTGTATGTTCACCTATTTGTAGTTGTATGGGTCTACCTGGAATCTACTTAGAGGGTATTCCGGGGATCAACGCCCCCGCGGTCCGGTGCATGGCCAGGCCTCCCGGTGGATCAAGGGCTGATCAACCAGCTTGTTTCTGCTGGCCGCACGCAGACCAGTATACGAACCACAGCTCGGCTGATCCGGCACCGACTTTAAATATCTGTCGAGCTCCCTCTTGAAGGCAGCCAGGGGCCTATTGGTAATTCCCCTTACGCATGGTGCGAGGCTGTTGAACAGTCTTGGGGGCCCCAGACACTTATTATATTTTCCTCTTAGTGTACCAATGGCGCCCCTACTTTTCATTGGGGGTATTTTACACCGCCTGCCCAGTCTTTTGCTTTCGTAGGGAATGATTTCTGTGTGAAGATTAGGGACCATTCCTTCTAAGATTTTCCAAATGTTGATTATGATACATCTCGTCTGCGCTCCAGTGAGTACAAGTTAAGTGCTTCCAAGCGTTACCAGTAGTTAAGGTGTTTGATGGAACTTGTATGTGCAGTAAAGATTCTCTGTACATTCTCTAGATCTGCAATTTCACCTGCTTTGAATGGAGATGTTAATTAATGCACAGCAATATTCCAGCCTAAAGAGAACAAATGATTTAAGAAGGATCATTATTGGCTTGGCATCTCTTGTTTTGAACGTTCTCATTATACATTGTATCATTTTATTCACAGCTGTGATTGTGGCAATGTTGTGATCGAGTCACAGCTCCCGACCCCATCGTTTTTCTCGTCGCTACTAGGTCCACACTCTCTTCCTGTTCCAAGAGCTTTATTGCACGTGTGTGTGTGGGGGGGGATGTGTGTGTATGTGTGTGTGGATGTGTGTGGGGGGATGTACTCACCTAGTTGAGGTTGCAGGGGTCGAGTCCTAGCTCCTGGCCCCCGCCTCTTCACTGGTCGCTACTAGGTCACTCTCCCTGAACCGTGAGCTTTATCATACGTCTGCTTAAAGCTATGTATGGATCCTGCCTCCACTACATCGCTTCCCAAACTATTCCACTTCCTGACTACTCTGTGGCTGAAGAAATATTTCCTAACATCCCTGTGATTCGTCTGTGTCTTCAACTTCCAACTGTGTCCCCGTGTTGCTGTGTCCCATCTCTGGAACATCTTGTCTTTGTCCACCTTGTCAATTCCTCTCAGTATTTTGTATGCCGTTATCATGTCCCCCCTATCTCTCCTGTCGTCCAGTGTCGTCAGGTCGATTTCCATTAACCTCTCCTCGTAGGACATACCCCTTAGCTCTGGGACTAGTCTTGTTGCAAACCTTTGCACTTTCTCTAGTTTCTTTACGTGCTTGGCTAGGTGTGGGTTCCAAACTGGTGCCGCATACTCCAGTATGGGCCTAACGTACACGATTCCTTATTAAGATGTCGGAATGCTGTTCTGAGGTTTGCTAGGCGCCCATATGCTGCAGCAGTTATTTGGTTGATGTGCGCTTCAGGAGATGTGCCTGGTGTTATACTCACCCCAAGATCTTTTTCCTTGAGTGAGGTTTGTAGTCTCTGGCCCCTAGACTGTACTCCGTCTGCGGTCTTCTTTGCCCTTCCCCAATCTTCATGACTTTGCACTTGGTGGGGTTGAACTCCAGGAGCCAAGTGCTGGACCAGGTCTGCAGCCTGTCCAGATCCCTTTGTAGTTCTGCCTGGTCTTCGATGTGTGTGTGTGTGTGTGTGTGTGTGTGTGTGTGTGTGTGTGTGTGTGTGTGTGTGTGTGTGTGTGTGTATGTGTGTGTGTTATTTTATTGCGAGGACGTTTTCAGTGAATTGGTAAAGTTCTTGGTAGACGAAGCGTCTTCACAATAAAATGCCATAACCCACCTGCATTATGTCTTTTTTATATAGGTGCAAATGTTCCTATGATCAAATTTAAAAATAAAATTGAACATAAAAACAGAGCTCAGAAGACTTCACAAAAGAAAAATGGTTGTAGAGTTGGTGAAAAAACGATGCAGATGTCACAACAAAGTATAAAAATAACTCACGCTGAGACATTGCTGAGAAAAAACAGCCAGTAAAACACACGGAAGAAATACACCCGCTTCTTCACATTATTATTATTATTATTATTATTGTAAGATAAGTAAAACGCGTGCTTGGTTAGCCTGATACCTAATGGATGATTTTTGGAGGTCATTGCCCTTGCGGTCTGGTCCCGGACCTATAGTGAGCATGTTATGACAGGATGTAGGGTGATTAGGAACGCGCACGCTCTACACCATTCTGATAGTTTTCCCCTGTTCTGCCAGGGTTCGAATCCCGTGGCTTTGTATGATTTGGGCTATCCACTCACTGCGGCCCCAGCATGTGTACTCTGCGCTAGAAGTATGAATAAGAATGGGGAAAAGAAGGGGGAAGGCCGCAATCGAAATTCATCTTCCTTTCGTGGGTGTGGCACATTAGCAACATGTAGATTATGGTAGCATAGCACTACTCATTTACCTAATTTTGTGTTGTACAAAATTGTGCGGAAGTCATACAAGACATGTCAGTTGACGGCTTCTGCTGCAGTTATTTTCGTCAGTGTTACTGTGGTTGTTGATGTTGGTTTAGCTGCTTCTACTGTTCCTGCTGCTGATGTTGGTGCTGCTTTAACTACTGCTGTTTTAGCAGCTTCTACTATTATTGCTGCTGTTTGAAGTGATTCTGTTGTTGCTGCTTAGTTTTGTAATAGTGTTATACTGAGGAGAAGAAGAATGTTGTGTACTCTGTGGTTGGTGACAGATGCACTTGACCAGCACAAACAATACTCATTCCTGGCATACTCCAGCTCTTAACAGAGAGACTTAAAGTGATCAGCATAAATGTCTGGGCGACTCATAAAAGACGAGCGGGGAGAACTCTTCAGGAATCTCTCACATATGATACCGTTTTCACTCACATTACAGTTCCTCCATTTGTCTCCTGTCTAGACCTCTGTAAATATTAAAAAAAAAAATTCCGGATTATTTTAGGCTAGGTTAGCTTTAGGTCAGTTCACCTATACTTACGTAAAATTAACTCACAATAACTACCGTAAATGAGCAGCTTACTTCTGGCAGTTCAGAACATATCGTTGTCTATTAGAGGGTTGGTATCCTCAGGTACACTGTTTAAGCCGGAGGATGGGCTGAATTATACTTCCAGGCAGCTTGTCTGTATAATAACATTTATTTTACTTTCTTGGGTAAAAAAATATCAGACTTGTAAATAATATATATCCTAATGTACTCTTGTTAGCCTTTTAAGGGTTTAAAGGGCCTTTGTGAATGTATACGCCCTTGTGATACCGTCCACAAAATAGATGTGTACAGTAAATTTGCCGCTTCGGTGGCAGGAAAAAAATAGTGAAAGAGTTGTGTGAGTAAGTGGTGTTATGTACGCTGATTTGGGTTGTGCAGGTTCAGCTGTGGTGCGGTTATATGACCCAGCATCTTCTAGGAGAGGGCAAGCAAAGAGTGATGCACCTAGAAAAATACTCTTGTATAACCTTCCCTCGGATTAGTATGTTAGTTATTCAGTTTATTTTCACAAGTAGGACTTCAGAGTAAGTGTAAATCAAAATGCAGTGTACCAGACATAATTCACGTACTAAGTTATAATGAGAACGTTAGTTTTTTTTACCTCATTTGTTTCTAATGATTTCTGAGGATAAGCTGCATTGTACAGGCGAAACACTGTCATTATTAAAGTTTCTTAAACTACACTTTGTGCTTTTAAAGACAAAGATAATGAAGCTGGTACACGAGGTAGAAATTGCGATGCAAGGGCGTAGTGTTGACAAGCATGAAGACACGAACGTTGCACAAGCTTTTATTAAGACACCGTTTCGTTTGGGGTAGAGCTTTAAGACTCATGATAAAGCTCTACATAAAGCGAAATGATATTCCAATAAAAGCTTGTTCTGCAAGAGGTAGAAAGCAGGTAGAGCCATCGACCCACTACCCACCGTGCTAGACCTCCAAGCCTTTCACATGTCACAGGGTTCACCAACCAATCAATCAATCCGTCCAGGCGCTCGCCGGTTAAACACCCGACTCCATCAGCCATAATAATTTAGCGATAATCTCGTGGAACTCTTCAAATATTCAGCAGGTGCCACTAGTGCCAGGCAGGGGGAAACGTGTTGATAATCTCGAGACACTCGTGCGATCAGTTATCTTAGGAAGCCTCTACCTACGTATTGGGTTAGATATACAGGGTGTTTCAAAGAGATGGACCCAATTTCAAAGCAGTATATTTCACGATCGGGTCCATCTGAAACACCATGTATATACTCATACGTATATACTGCTGAAGAAAATCTCAGACGTAGCTTGAAGTATAGTCTGTTTTTATCTTTGTTTCTGTCTCCATG